AAAAAAAAATCTTACTCTTTTTTTTAGCACACAAGACTGCAAGTGGGCTCGGCGCATCAGCTTTCCACAGAAAATAAATGCAAGCAATTAAAAATTCAGTTTCTTTTCTTTAAGCTAATTCCTCAGGTTTTGCTAATTAGCAACTAATAGTTCTGTCATCTGAGCTGGGGAAACATAAAGAAGGATACCAGTGGTATGTTTTCAATCAAAGCATTTGCACAGAGGAATGAATCATATTTTCCATGAGGGATTACTACTGCTTGGGAGCAGCGGGGGGCAGAAGAAAAGCATCTTCACGACCCTCAAACTGCAAAAAGAGAGCTGAAATTTTAGAAAAGCGGACATCCTTCTACTCCTCGTAACAGAACCGGCGGGGGCCCCTATGTGGCAGGACTCCGTGCATCCCAGACACTCCCCACAAAGCCTCCTGCAGGGACAGTCAGAAAACGAGACTCCTCGCAGGAAGACAAAAGACAAGGAAACACATGTTTTCCCGTAAACAAGTTAGGCACTGACCAGGGTACAGGGATGCTTTAACTATTATGTCACCTGCCTGTGCCAGGTCCCTAAGAGAACACACACGCCTGGCAGCGAGGGGACACGGGAGTGATGGGAGTTCGAAGTACCTGGCGACCCACGGAGCAGAGGCACCTGGAAACTGCTGAGCAAACTTCCGGCGGGAAATGGGGGTCCTAATCCCGAGTCCCGGGGGCAGGCAGTTCAGGTCTCTGCAAACCAGCCCCTCCCGCACTCTCCCCAGTCACAAAGCACCAGTGATCCTGTGGCCGCCGACCTGTCAGCATCACACCATGTCTGAGGTCTAAGCCGTGCGGCTCGAGCGCCTACTTTCTTGCCTTGACATACAAGCCCTCCACGGCAGCCCTCCAGGAGAGCATACCCTCCAGTGGCCCCTGGGAGCATTTTATTCCAAACATATGTTATGAATGTTTGCAGTGCCCTCTATCCCTGGTATTTCTTTTTTTTTTTTTTTTAAGTCAAACCCACAAAACCTAAAAGACTTTGAATCCAGCCTAAGTGCCCTTTGTGAGGACGCAACGCTGCATACCCAAGGATAATCAAGTCTTGCGCCATAAAAATTGTACAGATGTCCTTCGGAGGGGGGAAGAAACGATTTTCCCTTTTCCTGTCTTACAGGAAGCCTGCCCACACATTAGAAATACCAAGTCAGTATATATAGAAGCACAAATTAGGCGTCTTGGAAAGTCCACATTTTCCAACCACAGAGAAACGAAGGAATTCCTGGGAGTGTTCACATGCCCAGCTACCCTGGATTGGAGGAGTCTTTTCTCTCCGACAACCTGGCTGTCAACGAGGTTGTTTCTCTCCGACAATCTCCGACAATGGTTCACAGGAAAAGGGAGCAGCCTACAAAGATGTTTCTGAACCTTGACTGCAGCGAACTTGTGGTTTGAAGTTTTGCTGCGGGACTGACAAGTAAAGAAACGTGATCGAACTTTCATGCCTCATTTTTAAAAAGACAGCACTTTTCTCATACACTAAAAATTTGGGGAGGATCGATCAACTTCAGCATTGTATTGGTCATTCATTAGCCTTCTCCGGATAATTAAATCCAGATAAGGTAGACAGATTTTATTACAAAGTGCCAAGATACACTCATTATGCTGGTAGAAGACTAAAACATCCAGTACGGTTCTAGAAAAAGTAAAGTTACATCCTATCTAACTCCTTGGGGATATCTTTAAAATATCTTACATGAATAATTCTGTAGCTTTCTTTTTTCCACATATATTGCTTGTATTTGTTATATAAATGCTTTCTGCCAAGTATTTAAGAGGTTAAAACTCCTTAAAATCATTTAAAGTCTTTAAATGATTTTAAAGTAAATCCTTACTTACAGAATAGAAAAAAATATATATAGTCAATTCACTAAGGTTCGGGGAGAAAGGATATGCTCAGAAGGTTACCGTACACAGCGCTGACCACACCAACACTCTTCCTAAAGTTTACAGTCCACTCAATCTCTAATCTGTTTCCAGAAGATGCAGATCTCAGGGAGGCAGAGAAACATGACTGTAGCACTAAAAAAATAACTCGGTTTGGAGATGGAACTCATCACATACAGGTGGTCATGGTGGAGGTGGTCATGGTGGTGATGATGGCGATGAGGGTAGTGATGGTGGTGGTGGTGACAGTGGTGGTGGTGGTGACAGTGATGGTGATGATGGTGATGGGGGTAATGATGGGGGTGCTAGTGAAGGTGATCGTGGTGGTCGTGACAGTAGTGGTGTCGGTGGTGGTAATACTGGTGGTAATGGTGGTGATGATGGTAGTGGTAATAATGATGGCAATGATGGTAACAGGGTGATGGTGGTGGTGACAATGATGGTGATGATGATGGTGATGGTGGTGGGGATGGTGATGGTGATGGTGATAATGGTGGTGATGGTGGCAGCAGTGGTGGTAATGGTGATGATGGTAGTGGTAGTAATGACAGGAATGACGGTGATGGGGTGACAGTGGTGGTGATGGTGGTGATGGTGACGATGGTGGCAATGATAATGGTGGTGATGATGGTCATGATGGCAATGACAATGGAAAGGAAGGAACAGGAGGAAAGAGAGGCACAGGAAAGCAGGTGCCATAAAATCTGAAGCACTCACCATGAGCCAGAGATTTTACTAAATACCGTATTTGCATTGTGTCCCTTAATTCTCAGCAAAACACCGTGGAGCAGCGCTCACATTACAACACCAAATAAATGGTCAGGACATGACTCCTGGAGGGGTTGGCACACTTGACCATGCCGCACAGCCACTATATGGCAAAGCTGGAAGTTGAGCCCTCTGCCCTTTAATGGTAATCCAATCTGTGTGATCTCTAGAACTCCCCATCCATGTTGTATATGCAAGGATCTCATTTACTTATGACCCGTTCAGGGAGTATATTGGGAGGGTGGGTCAAAATGGCATCTGTCCGTTGGTTACAGGCAACACCTGTAGTTTGTCAGTCATCACGCAGTCTTAACAGTGCTTTGAACAATACAGTGGGGAAAGTTAAGGGACATCCAATGTATTGGTCTATGTCCTAAACAGAACCGTTCCAAGACCCACTAAGAGCTCCACAGGGCCCTGTGCTAATTAATACTGAGACCCAAGAGGTGGGTCAAAACACACACTGCCAAGAGTGCCAAGGATCCCAGGTGTGCGCAAAGCCTATCCCTCAGACGAAGGGGCGAGGGGTGGACTGGCCGACCGTTAGAAGAAACGAACCAAGAACAAGCTGCAAGTTGAACGGCATAGACAGAGACTTAACGGTCATCTGCTCACTTCCATCAATCAGACAAGAAGTATTCGTCAGCTGTCCTGCCCAATTACAGACCTCACTAATTAGTGGGCGTCTGGAACAGAAAGCAAAACATAAATATGGGATGGGGAAAGTTTGTGTTCACACATGAGGATGAAAACAATGCAGGGAACTCGTGGCTAATAAACTAGACTTGATTCTTTTTAAAAAGTAAATACACTCTGGAGTATTAATGCAGGGAGGAAGTTTGTAGGTTCCCTCACATTTTCTGCATGGACGCTATCTCAGAGAGACCCGCAGATAAAAAAAAAAAAACAGTGGAGAAAACAGAAACGTGCTCAGAGGAACACCCTGCCAACACTATCGTGAACTCTCGCTCCTAAAAGAAAACGAAATAAACTTTAATGAAGGCAGAAAAAGAAGTGAGCGCCCACCTTCTCCTCACTTCTGGATCTGTAAAAACTGTAGCCACAGGGCTGAGAAGCGCTTTTTAATCAGAGAAGTCGCAGCCTTTTTTTAAAAAACCTAGAAGAATCCATAAAACCTTTTCCTCCATCCTTGTGGCAGCTTTAAAAAAAAAAAAAAAAAAAGTGTGCCTTCCATCTTTACCAACAATGTAACCTGGCTGGGGAGACGTAAGCCTGCTCCAGGTTCTTTGATCTGCACCCTGATGAGGGAACATTTCCCTCTGCCACAAGCCAGCTAACGAAGGGATGAAATTAGCTTTTATCCTGGGCACTTTCTTGGGCGGGTTGGGGGAGGGGAGGGAGAGGCACTAATCAGCTGTCCTCGCTAATCAGTCGTCTGGCTAATGACCTTTTGCCTTAAAACACTAAAATTCCTGAATGATGTGGAAAAGGGGAAACACAAACCAGTCCCCTTCTCTGGAGCTCAATGGGTCACCTGGAGTTGGAGCCGGGAAGGTTAAATGGCAAGTCTGCATCCTGCCAAGGTGATAAATCTGTAACCAAGGGCTTTAGCTTTGGCACCTAGGAACTTCATTACCTCCACAACCAAAGTATATTTTTTTAACTAGAAACAGGCCACAAATGGAGTCAACCCTTATACATTTTTCTTTGGAGAAAGCCATCGTATATTTATTTGTGTTCTGAGTCCTAGTGAATTACTTCAACTTTATTAGTGCTGGAAAAGGAGCTTCCCGTGTTTCTGCTCTGCTGGTTAGAGAAGCCAGTAAAATGTGTAGAAGAATCTTCCACATTTAAGGAATTTAGCACTGATTTGCTCAAAAAAAGGGTTTGTTTGTTCATACTCAACAAGTAAGCCAAAAATCATTCAAAACGAGGATTGCGGTGGTTCAGGACTTCTGCCAGCGCAGCCCACTTTAATAACTACCCCCATCAACCAATTCTGCTCCTTCAGTGTCTACTTGGGTGGAAGAAATCTGGTTCTCGTTCCCAGCAAAGGTCCGTGTGGATTAGCCACAGATGGACACCTTCCTGACATCTGCCACACGGAGGCTTGGACTCATTTAGAGATGTAAGACAATGGCTCTCTCTAAAAAGAGGAATGGACGGGATGTAGGAGAAGAAAAAGAAACAACAACAACAACAACAAAAAAAACAAAAAACTGGGCAGTAAATTAAACACTGATACAAATTAATACGAGCGCAATCATCCCTGCAGCGCGCGTGCGCGCCCACGCGCCCAGCCTTCCGCGCTCCCGGGACACGCGGGCCGGCGCAGGGGCCACTTACGGTAGTGAGGCTCCATGTAACCGTTCCGGGGGTCCATGGCAAACACGGCCCCGCGGTATGGCAGGGAGGGCTCGGCCAGGTGCGGCAGGGACCCATGGATCTCCTTCTTGATCAGCGAGGCCCTCTCCTCGCTGGATGTCGACGGCTCCTCGCTGATCTTGCCGAGGCCCTGGACACTCTGTGGCTGCATGGTGACCGCGTTTCTTCTCTCTCTGTGATAGGTCTGTCCAGGACTTTCATCCTCTAGAGAAAGAGGGGGAAATGGAAGCTCTGTGAGCCACTTGAAGGAACAATTCAAAACCAGTCATCAATTAGGTCTCCCTCTCCAGCCCTCCTCCCCGCCAAAGAAGCCTGTTTCTCATTCTTGGCAACTTTGAAAGCTATGATGACATAGTCTTCAGACAAAACTGCTTATGAATGAGGGTCCAAAACACCAATCGGAGGGCGAAGGGGAGCAGGAAATGAGCCTATTAAGTTGAGATGGAAGGGGGTCCACAAATTATCATCGCCAGCTGACAAGTGAACCTCCCAGGGAGGGTGTTCATTACGGACTTGCCAATATCCCCGCGGGTCCCAAGTGAAGCTCGAAGTTTTGCCAGCCTGAGGCCATGGGTGTCCAGCTTCCCCCTGTGTGTCTGAGAAAGCCGGGCTGCTCAGGGGTCGTGATGGCAGCTCAGACACCCACTGCGCCTCTGGGTGATCTGCGGATCGAACGACCTAAGGTGATCCAAAAGTTTTCCTGTTTTTGTTCTTTTTTTTTTTTTTTTTTTTAAAGTCAGATCTATAACCCACTGGTTTAGTGGAGCTAGAAATGGGACAAAAGACCCACTAGTTATGAGGGGTAAAGGTAAACCTATAGTACCCTTTGCCAGACACGTAGAACAGAGCTGAAAACCAAGAACAAATGGGGTAAGACTAATTCCCAGGGCAAGATGGCTCTGTGGGTGAGGAAGGCGGCAGTGATGCGGACACAGGCTCCTTCTCTGCTGGGGTCCAGACGCTGCTTCACACACTTAAGAAACAGCCTGACGAAATTCCACAAACATTCAGTTTTCCAGATTCCTAATACTTCCGTCCCCTTTGATCTGTAGGAACTTCCCATCTACCCATTAGGGCTCTCTGCAAATGCGATTGGATGACCTTTCTAGAATAGCAGATCAAAGAACCCATGCATAAAATTAAACCAAACGAGTGATCTGAACCCACAACAAATGGGCCAATTCATCTGTTAAGAGTCATATACACATTCTACACTCCATGTTCCCAAACAAGCTCTGCATTTCATCAGAAGACTGTTCTGGAAGGTAAGTGCTCATGGAAACAAAGCTGTTCGGGTAAGGCTCACACATCTAATCTGAGAATGATGTCCCATTCTTGAGCTGAAATATACATATATATGTAAGTACTAATGGCCCTGTACATTTTGGACAGACAGATTTTGAATACATCTTATCCCAACACATAAACTGATCTTCCAAGTATTTCATAAAGCAGTAATAACTGGCTGAGAGCCCCCTAAAAAACAGGAAAAAAATATATTTTACCAGTTTCATGGCTGTTTGTACAAATTCAGAAGGAAGTATAGCTATAAACATGGGTAAAAGTGAAAATATAACCTATGGTCACGACTACTGTTTTGTGATGACTAATGAACTACCCAAAGCCAGGAGCAATTTTCATCGTTCTGCTTGTGTCTGGGATTGGAAGAAATAAGCAATGTTTTGTTTTGTTTTGTTTTCTTTCTCAGGCTAGCAAATGACTTGCAAAACAGAAGAAACAATGAGATATGCTTTGGTCTTTACAGTGAATTTGCTGACTACTGCAGGGTAACTGTGAAACATTATTTAGCATTGTTTTGTACAGATCTTCGCCACCCAATCTTGTAATGATGGGATAAATTATGAGTTTAATCTATCAAGTAACTACTAAAAACAAAATGGGTGTAATCCCCCATTTTCACACATCGATCTTTACAAAGGCAATTCAAACCACACTTTCGCCAATTTAAAAACAAAATACCAGAAAAAAAAACACCCTACATTTTTATTTTTCTTTCTAATACTTGAAGGCACCACTCTGCCCTCGTACTTCGTTAGCAGTAAAGTTGCAGGCTATAGAATAAGGGTTTGCAGTTATGTAAAGCAAGAGGGTGTCAAAAACATTTAAACTCTCAGTCGGTTTTATAAAAACTCCTATAACCTACCAATGGCCAAAGTCATATTTTCCACTAATTTGCGCCTGTATAAAATCTTTATTCAACTTGAAATGAACTTGTGGCACTGAGATGCAAATTCTGTATTCCAGAGAGTGGACCTTCGTCTGGAAAGCCAGTGAGCCCTTACCAAGAGCCACCGCAACATGTAATTAGTGTTCTCTGGTTAAGAGAATAACCAAGCTCCGCTAATCTGTTCCAGGTTGAAAACGGGATTCCCTTGACTTAATCTTCCTAGAAGAAATTAACTTTTCTTCTCTTAAACCCACATCCCTATAATAGAGCGAGTTTCTTAGAAGCCAAGCCTTTATGATGAGCAGTTGAATCCAACTTCACAAATAATTGAATAATTGTCATGGTCTGACCAGAATCCTCCCACATCCCTCCCCACCTCCCCCCTCCCCAGCCTCCTGGAAGAAGGAAGTAATTGGTGGGGCGGGGTGGGTGGGTGGGGGGGAGTGGAAAGGGGGTGTCTTTCCAGCTAAGTGATTTTTTTCACAAGTACTAAACTTTTATTATTTTTCTCACTGTGAGTTAAACTAACACGTGTGAACATGAAAGTGGTAAGGGGAACTAAGCAAAGTTTAAATACATAATACAAGAAAAAATTCTAACTAATTGCCTTAGTAAAGTCAACAGCAGGCACGAAATTTTTGAGTGTGGAAACTTTCACCAGACTGACTTTTTTACAGCAGTCGATGCTGACACGCTGTTACCTAACCTCCCCTCCTCTCCAAAAAAATTCCAGGACACAAAATATTTCATCAAGTTTACCTTGTGTACTAAGTCGCTCCTGACGGGCCCTCAGATCAAAACTTGACAGGACACACGCTCCACAGTCCAAACAGCTCTGAGGCTGGAGAGCACGCTCTCCACAGCGAAAAGGCAGCTTTCCAAGCAATATTCCTGCCTGCCCTTATAAATTTAGCAACCACTTCAGTCAGCCAAAACACGAAAGCTGTCTAATCTTGTTCAGTTGTGCCGAGTTGTTCAATAAAGTTTGAGAGTCAGTGCAGACAGGCAACGCCAGGCCAAATTATTGACAGAAACATACTGTCCACCATGGCAACAAGCAGAAGTCGGCAGCAAAAATGTAAGCAAACAGCCCACTGCTCTAGCAGCATCTGCCAATGGACTTCCCCAGCCAAACACAAGGGGACTGTTCTGTTCCTGCTTCTCTGTGTTCAACAGCTGCTAACTCGGGGCTGGGGGGAGGCAGGGGTCACGGGGAAACATGCAATTCACTAAAAAGTCTCAGGAACAAAATTATTTTAAATACTGTTATTATAACCCTCCTTGGTACCTCCTTCCTTGTGTATAACCACGTTCAAGTGGAAGTTAACAAAATCCCGCCCCCAGTGGAGAGCTGCCCAAGCATCACATTTTACAAACTGTCCCAGGTTTTCCGAACTCCTCCGAAGGCAACCGGCGCCGAGTCCCCGTGCCACGAGCTCTGAACACTCCGAAGGCGATTCGCTGCCCGCACAGCTAGGACCGTTCACCGTGGAGGCTTGCAGACAGAGCGCTGCGTGAAGCAGGACTCGAACACACGCCCCTGGGCACGTCCTCACAATCCCCTGCACCATTTCGCGCCTCGAGCCAGGAAGCCAGGGCTTTTCCCACCTGGGCCTCGGATGAAAGTTTCAGAGGGTTCTTCCAATATAAAAAGAAAACCCTGCCCCGCATCGTCAGCTAGAACACCTCCAGTCACCCTAGCAAAATGAGCTGAGCAGGAGCTCACAGTGCATGCACGTGGCCACCTTTTTAAAAAAAAAATTAACATTGACCTTTAAACTGCTCCCTTAAATCCTGTCTTCACTCCATTACTCCTCTCTTCCCCCAGGACAAGAGAAGACACAGAGTATAAGACAACGGGCAATACTTACAACTCGGACCCCGGGCTCTGGCTAGCTACTTTCTGCAAACTTCTCTTGGTGGGCTTCCTCTAGTGTGCAGACCCTCTAGGAACATTCTCGGTGTCTCCCTGCCTCCCTCTCCCTCTCCCTGGCAGTGCTGCTCCCGTTAGATGAATTAAAAGTGGTTGGAGCCATGCTAAATTTAACAAGCTCATTAGTATTCTGAGTGCTTCCGAGTGAACTCTCTCTATTCAAGCCGCTCTCTCCAGCAGAAGGGTCAGGCGGCTAATCATTAAATCAAACTAATGTCACCCTATCACAATCAGCCCGAGAGAAGGAGGGTTTATTATTTCAGTATATGCTAAATAAACGGTTTTACAAATGGTCCCCAAGCAAGGTCAACAGCAGCTTCAATTACAAGACAAACTTCACAAGAGTTGCTCTAAACCAAGTACTCTGTATTGACTTAAGAACGGGCTCAGCTTCACATATTACCACGAGCAGGGTTGTACAGGAATGCATATTGTAAAATAAAGGATGGGGTGGGGGGGAAGCTTCTTTCTTTGCCAGAATTTGCGACTGCACAGCGACTCCTCGTTCACCTGTCTCCAACCAGCTAGCCGTTCAGCTCAATTCACCCCACACAAAGGCTGGAGCCCAGACCTCAATGGACCGAGTGAAACATGTTCAAAACTAGGCTCTCTATTGTGACTGAATTTCTTAACATCTTTTCAAAAAGCGGAGAATGCCTTGAGGCTAAAGGAAGAAACAGGCTAATGGTGAATTGGGAATTCTGAGCAAATTTCAGAGCCCTTTCCTCCTAGCTTTTGAGGTTGAAAGCAAGCTTTTTCCTTTCAAGTTTCAAAGTCCTTTTTCCTCCCGCAGTGTCACAGAAGGATTTGAAAAGAAGGTAATTGTGCTCGCAGTCTCCCTGATCAGAGCTTACGTCCTATTTCTGGTATTTCGGAATACTTCTTGCAATAATAGTGCATATAGCTCAATCCCTTAACCGGCCTGCACTCTGCAATTGCTCATTAAATGAACAATTGCGGGTATAAAATGCCTTTTATGTTCAAGGTCTGGATATAAGATAAGCATTCTAGGACTCTAAATTTGGTTTACTAAGGAAACTCTCCATCATTAAATTACAAAACTGAAGTCAGAATATCAGGCTT